CCGATTTGGTTTTTTTATAATACGAATAAACCAACCGAATCGATTTAAACTCCGGTTTTGTTAATTTAAAATAAAAATAAACACCGGCTATATATAACTTATACACTATTAGCAACACTTAAAAAAATGATTAAGTCTTAAACGTTGTATTATCAACGGTTAGTCCCGGACACCGAGTAGATTATGGATCAAACATTCGGAACTTTATAAATAAAAAAATGATTAGAAAAAGGGAGATTAGCTAGAATAACCTACTTTTTTTTAAAAAATAGCTAGAATAACCTTACTATTTTTTTATTGAATTTATTTTAGATTTTTTTTCTTTTATAATACCAAAATTGTTCTTCGCAGACTCTGCCGAGGTATTGGTAAACTCTGCCGAAACATTGGCAGACTCTGTCGAAACATTGGCAGACTCTGCCGAAATATTGGCAGACTCTACCGATGTATTAGCAGACTCTGCCAATATCTAAAAATACGCAGATTCTGCCAAAACATTGGTAGACTCTGCCGAACATTGGCAGACTCTGCCGAACATTGGCAGACTCTGCCGAAACATCGGCAGACTCCGCTGAGATATTGGCAGACTCTGTTGAGGTATTGGCAGACTCTGCTGAATCATTGGTAGACTATGCGGAAACATTGGTAGATTCTACTGATGTATTGGCAGAGTCTGCCAATATCTAGAAATACGCAGACTTTGCCAAAACATTGGCAGCTTCTGCCGAACATTGACAGAGTCTACCAATGTTCGGCAGAGTCTGCCAATATCTCGGCAGAGTCTGCCAAGGACAATTTTGGTATTATGAAATAAAAAAAAATTCAGAATAGGTTATTTCAGCAATAAGAAAAATGGTAAGGTCTATTTTTTTTAAAAAAAATAGGTTATTCTAGGTAAATTTTTCTTAGGAAAATAGTAAATAAATTCAAGGGTCTAGTTAGGTACGTACCTAGTCGGATATTTAGGTAATTGTTAATTGCAATCTCTATGAAAAGCTTTAATTTATGATATTGTTTATTTACAATTGTGTGATTCTGCATACTGAAGAGTTGCATGAGTTCACACTTGCTTTTTCTTTTTAAAAACTTACGCTAAGAAAATAGTATAAATGTGAGT